CTTTTAAATCTCGTCCAAAGTCAGTATTTTTTAAAAAAATTTTAATGTTTATTTTTGAGAGACAGAAACAGAGTGGGAGCAGGAGAGAGACACAGAGAGAGGGAGACACAGACTCCGAAGCAGGCTCCAGGTTCTGAGCTGTCAACACAGAGTCTGACGTGAGGCTTGAACTCACGAGCTGTGGAATCATGACCTGAGCCGAAATTGGACGCTCAACCAACTGAGCAACACAGGCGCCCCCAAAGTCAGTATGTTTTTAACGTTTCTCAGTGTAACTTGAAATGGTTTTAAATAATTGCACATTGCTCAAATCATTAGACTCCCCACTACCTGTGGAGCAACAACAGAAACTAACACACATAAGGGAGTGTATTGGATAGATATTAAATAATGTCCAGTTAAGAGTTTGACATTTTTCCAATTTTGCATGTCTTATAAAATCTGCCGTAGCACCTTATACATCATGAGTGCTTGGTAAAGGACCCTTGGATTCATACCCACTATCTCCTTCTTTCTTGCCATGTCCTGTGATTTGTATACACTCTGCCCTCCCACACTCCACTTAGTAAATGGTGAACTTGCACATATAAGGTCTTGGAAACACCTTTGGATGGATTTAAGAGCACTTCAATGGTGGTAACATCTGAACTGGTTTCTGAACAACAAGCAGGGTCTACACACACCCTCCAGTGACTGGATTCTGCCCCCATCTCTCCTCTCTCCCTTCCTCACTGGCGGAACTTCATATATATATAAACTGCCAGGTGCTTCCAGTAGACAAAATGCTCATTCTAGCTTCTATGACTTGGTGCATTTGTTCATCTCCTTCTAGAATCTTTTCCCCACATTTTAATCTCCCTATTCACCTGGGAAAATCCATTCTTTCAGGTTTGGCTTGGAGGGGAAATCTCTCCTAAAGAGACTTCTCAGAAGATCTTCTCTGAGAATTCAGGTCATGCCATTGAGAAGCAATGTTAGGGGTCCCATGTCCATGCTGCTGTCATATCCTGGGCATACTCTATCAGTGATTTACCAGGCTACTTCATAGCGTTCTATTTATAAGTCTGCTTCTCCTATGAGACTAAAAATTAGGTGGTAGTACATTGCATCATATACTTTTTTGCATTCCTGGAACCTAACTTGATCCCAAATTCATGAATGCTACCTTATCAATGAATAGATGGAGAAAGGAAGGGAGGGAAGGATTAAATGATGAAGAAACCAATCTGTGTTCGATCATTTTAGCAGTAGTATAAAAGATCACATATTGCTCAGGACTCTTTTATTGTAAGTGATGGCAGCATGACTCTAATTGGCTCAATAAGGAAAGAAAATCAGCTGCTATATCGAAATGAGAGTCAGTGGATTAGGTAAGGCCAAGCTAGATCCATGAGCGCAAACAACATCCCCAGTACTCTGGGTCTATGTGTGCCCATGCTTTCCTCTGTGACAGCTCCACTCTCAGGCAGGCTCCCTCAAGCAATGGCAAGACTCCAAGTTTCTGTCTTACCTATTTCGCAATTTCATTAAGAAGCCAAGAGCTTCTCAATTCCCTTTGCTCCAGCACGACTAGCATCCTCTCTGATGGCCAGTCTTAAATCATTGGCTCCACTCTGAACCCCTACGGGCCTGAGCAAGGGCACAGGCAGGAAGGAGGAAAGACACTGCCATAGGGTCACAAACTCCCCCTCCTGAGCTCAGAAGTGAAGTCACTTCACTTTAATCATGTGGACTGACAGAGGCAGAGATAAGGATTTCTTAGGAAATCTAGAGTTGTTTTAAGAAAGAGAGGGTGTCAGGCAGGTAGAAAGAGCTGATGTAGTAGAGACTGAAAGAGGTTAGCACAGATGCGTAACTGAGTGCCCTTAGATGAGAGAGAAATGGTCTTGGGGTTTAGTGACATGTCCAAGCATCTTAATTTTCTCCCTTCTGAGCACAACTATTATACCACAAACTATATAGATGTTAGGGAAATGGAAGGCATGAGGAGGGGGGGCAATTATGCCATCAAAGCTCAAGGCAAACCAGGATAAAGCAAAACCACGTCACTCATTCTTGCTGGCTGATTAGCAAGATCAGTCCTCAGCACCGATTTTACATGCATATTGCAAAGAATTAGTCAAATCTGAAAGACTCAACAATGACAAGGCAAAATGGAATTTAGTAAACTGAATGTATAGGTTAGAGATCATGTCATTGGGTTAGTGGTTGCATGGATTTACAGCTTGCACAATGAATGTAGCGTTCAACACATCTTAAAACAAGAAGCAATTTGTTTATCATGGTGAGATTCGTAACACTGGTGCTCCGAAAATTTTATGAATCTTAGTATGGGACTGTCATGAGTTATATGATGGAAAGTGGTAGATTATGAAAGAAAAAAAAACTTTCTACTTACTTCCAGAAAGTCAATAATTCTGACAAAACAAGTTTTAGGAGTCACGATATAGATAATTCCATAGACAATGGGTTAATTCTTGATACTCTTGTTCTCTTGGCTGCTACTGTAAGTAAGCTGAAATTCTACTCTTCCGGTCCATTTGCTAACGTCAATACTTTGGGCTGGGTCTGGGAATCATTAAAGCTAATACTTGCTATTGTTTGGGGAGTCAGATGTTAATGCCCAAGGCAGAGAGACAGTCACATCTGAAATATTTTCCCGTATAAAGGATTGGAGACAAATTTTATTTTCCTTCCATTTTATGTGGGAAACTAAAATTGTAAACAGACATTGGATTTTAAAAATTTGTTCTGAGATCTCTGAAGAATGCAGGTGTGCCCTCCTTTCACAATCTGTGACGCTGAAAATTTTAAGAGATAAATGAAAAGATTGTGCGGGTTTTTTTTTTTTTTTCCTCTTCACATAAGGATTCACCACTGAGTGTTCCTGTTCAGGGAAGCGTCTTAAACAGTCCAGGCCGCTAAAACAAAATACCGTACATTGGTGGGCTTAAATAATAAACATTTATTTTTCAGGGTGCCTAGGTGGCTCAGTCGGTTGAAAGTCCAACTTCGGCTCAGGTCATGATTTCATGGTTCGTGGGTTTAACTCCCCCATTGGGCTCTGTGCTGACAGCTAGCTCAGAGCCTGGAGCCTGTTTCAGATTCTGTACTTGCCTCTCTCTCTGACCCACCCCTGCTCATGCTGTCTCTCTCCACCCCCCCTCAGAAATAAATAAAAAACATTTAAAATATTTTTTAAAATAATATTTATTATTCATTTTCTGGATGTTGGGAAGTCCAAGAGCAAGGTATCTGCAGATTTAGTATCTCATGGGAACCCTCTTCTTGATTTACAGACAGTCACTGACTTGCTGTACCCTCACATGACACACACACACACACACACACACACACAGAGAGATCAAGCCCTCTGGGTGTCTCCTCTTATAAAAGCACATAATTCCATCATGAAAATCTCACCCTTATGACCTCATATAGATTTAATTACTCCCCAAACATCCCATCTCTTAATATCATCACAATGGGGTACAGGACTTCAGCATCTGAGTTTTGGGAGAGCATATTTAGTCCATAACAGTAAGGTTGTATTAGAACACTACTTCTGTTTTATTTAACAAATACTTTCATAACACAATACGTGCTGATGTGTTATAAATGTTAACACATTTAATACTCATAACAACCCTGTGAGGCAGGCATTATTTGCTCTTTTACAGAGGAAAAACAGGAGCCCAGAGAGATTAAATAAAGTACCCACAATCAGAGGGTCATGGGGCCAGGAAGTGGTGACGCTGATGTTCCAGCCTTCACAGCCTCACCAGCTGGTTCCAGAGACAGACTAGCATCCTCCAATTCCAGCTCTTCTCTGGACACTGGCAGAATAGCTCACACATCCTGGAGATCTGCACTACCCTGGAGAACCAATTTAAACTACCCAGTTTATTCCAGAAAAGGATATTGAAACTGATGAAGCAAAGTGAATTACTCAGTGAGAAGTCCGCAGCTAAAGAGACTGAAATGCTTTGTTGGCATTCTTAGAGAACTGAAATAATCGATAGCTAGCTGTTTCTCAAGAGAATCAATCCCAGGAGGCAGGCATATTCAGAGGACACGGAGTGGAACATACTAGTAATCTAGTATTCACATATTTGGAAACACACCTGTTTGCTTCCTAGAGGAGCAAAGGTGGGAGTCGCTAGGTTCCCGATTTCTTGTGTCCATGATCCTTTCAGTCCATGGACTGTTTTAGAAGAGGTGGACCCCAGATCCCAGCACGGCCTTCACAGCTCCAGAATGACTGTCATGAATAGAAACAGTCTCCTAGACAACAAACAGTGGGGCTCCAGGAATTACTAGAATGTGGGAAGTCCCAGAATTTCAAAGAGAGGAAATATGAGAGGTTACAAGCTGTACCTTAAAATAAACACTGAATTAACCTGTTCCCTTAGCCTACCTCCATGACCCACTGGGCAAAAACGTGGTACTAAGCGTGACTTACCTGAGCTGATAACACACCAGAAACAAGACAAACATTCTCACACGTAATCTGACATAACAGACATTTTTAAACAGCGCGTTTATTCTAGATGCATAAAACCTGCAAAACCCAATTTAAAGCGAAAGGGTAGATAAGAGCGCCTCAACTCTTACAGCTCCAGCAACTGAAGTGTCTTTGAGATTTAATTCTCTCCTCTAAAGAGTCTAACTAACGGGTATGACCGTCCGGTCCTGTGACCGGGGGTCACTGGCACCCACGGTCCCCGCACCCCTCCCCCTCAGTGGCAGCCACCGAGTGGCGGCCACTCACGCCCCTTCGCGGATTGGGGCAGAAACAGGTCTTTGAGCCGCCGGGACACGCGGGCGGGTCCCCCTCCACCCCGGGGGCGGGGCCGCGCGATCCTTCCGGACCCGGGAACGACCTGGGGCGCCGGGAAATTCCCTGCCCCCGGCGGCGCCCTTCCCCGCGCGGACCCGGGATAAAAGGGGTTCTCCCGGCCCGGGGAGCCACAGAGGCCGCTCCGCCAGCTCTCCGCCAGCTCTCCGCTCCAGCCGCCGCCCCGACTCTCCGAGCTGAGCCCCATGGCCGCCGCCGCGCCCCCCGCCGCGCCCCGCGCTCTCCGGCTCCTCGGCGCCGCGCTGCTGCTCCTGCTCCTGGTCCCCGCCGGCCGGCGCGCCGCAGGTGAGGCCCGGGGACCTCGCGGGGGGGGGGGTTGCGGGGCGCGGGGCGCGCCAGCCCGGGGACAGCTCGCTCACCCGCTGTGCTCTCCCCGCAGGGACGCCCGTCGTCACCGAGCTGCGCTGCCAGTGCCTGCAGACCTTGCAGGGCATTCACCTCAAGAACATCCAGAGTGTCAAGGTGACGCCGTCAGGACCCCACTGCGCCCAGACCGAAGTCATGTAAGTGACGCCCCGCGGCGCTGCTGCCGCTGCCCTTTGTCGCCCCCGCCGCCCCCATGCCCCCTACCCCGCCGCGCGGCCCGGCCTCCTGCCAACGGGCATCCTGCCTTCTCTCTGCAGAGCCACGCTCAAGAATGGACAGGAAGTGTGTCTCAACCCCGAAGCCCCCATGGTCAAGAGAATCATCCATAAGATGCTGAACAAGTGAGTTATGCTTTCTATTCACACGTGCGACTAGAGTCACTGGTCACAGAGACAGGCACGTGCCTCTGGAAGATTTTATCAAGGAAACCTAGGTTTAGCTGAAAAACAAAATCATTATTAATTCACAGTTAAATTTGCTATTAAGGTCATTAAGCTTCTCCTATGCCAGGGTATTTCCAGTGCCCTCTCTCCCCATACAATCGAGTGCTGGCAAATGTGTGTTCCTAAAAGATGACCTAGAGTTGGCCAGTGATGTTAAAATGCCTCCCACCCATTGGGGAGCACATCGTCTTTACCTCCATCCCCAGTGAGCTTCGGCCCTAAAAAGTGGACCCCTTGGTTTTGGGCAACATGGGCCTCTCTGAAGCTTGGTGGTGAAGAACAAGCACTTTGCAGGATCCTAAGTTCCAAGTCTAGGATCCCTGTGGAAGTTTTCTAATCCCTTTGAGCCTCAGCGGAATGGGGTAGATAATAACTATTTCATGGGTTGTATGAGGCTTAGGTGAGGTGTTGCATATAAAATTTTAACCCAGGGTGACAGTCTGTAAGTGCTGTTTTGGCTCTTTCCAGTCCATAGTAGAGAGTTCAGTCCACAGCTCCGTCTCTATGGGATAAAGAGCAAGTTCTCCACAGTAGGGGGCAGGACGGACTGTGGGACCTGCTCTGGGAACAGGGCTGGGCCAGGGTCTGCCGCAGAAATCCCTCCAGCCTCAGGGGCCATGTGAGAGAGGAGCAGCTTTTCCTTAGCGCCTGTGACAGTAACCCTTTTCCAATCATAGGGGCAGCACCAACTGACCGGGAGACAAGCAAGAAGCTGGCTGGTGGTGGTTCCTGAAAGGCCTTTCTAGGAACTGAAAATGAAGAGAACAGCTGGCTACAAGGGCCTTAATGTGTTTGCCTATTACGAGTTCTCTATTTATTTATGTTTGTATTTATTTTCCAAAGCTTATATTTTAATATTTTACATATTAGTATTTAAAGATCGGAATGTGTTTAATCAAACATAACTCCGTCCTGATTATTATGTAATTTGAAGAGGATGGGTTTTAAATGTCTCATTATTAAACTAATATGTATTGGGACACTATTGGGGCACAAGGTGGTGGGGAGGGAGTCGAAGCAGTTAGTGTGCACATATCTATTTTTGTACTTGTTTAAAAGAATGGCAGTTGTCATTTATTGAAATTATTTCACACTATGTGGTCAACATTTTTATGTTGAAGTTTCCCTTGGACATTTTATGTCTAGCATGTAGGGCATAATGCCTTGTTTAATGTTTATTATGCAGTGTCGCTCTGTCTTGTAACAGGGATGTTAAAACTACTGTTATGTTTTTACAAATGACATGAAAATAAACGTTTTGCAAAAAATGACGTGCTTACGTTTTGTTTTTTTCTTCTTGATCCTTGGTTCCTACTGGGGGCCCAATATTGTACAATTAAACGACAGGTCACACCTAACTTTATGCTTGCTCCTGGCCATGACTTTCCTTACGTTTCTTTTCCTTAAGGAATATTTGACACACTACCCTCCCCAGCCACCTTGAGAATCCAAAATATTGCTGCTTTTCACCCTGATTCATTATTCAACATTGGTGCCTTACTTTTGGACTTTTACAAATATTGTAATAAGAGCTCATATTAAATACTTTGAGTAACTGGTTTTGCAAACAATTATGCAATTCCCTTTTAATGAGGCTGGGACCAAAAGGTGGAAAAGCAGATTCTTCTTAAGAACTTGAATAATTTATGTTATTTAATAGTAACAATGATCTATGGAGATAAGTCCATGTTACATGACAAAAATAATGAAGGATAGGTAGGGAAAAAAATGGATTTAGAATATAAGAGCTGTCTTCAATTGTTGCAGAAAGTATAACGTGAAGGAAAATTGTAATGTGGCAGGAATATATATTGCAGTTTTTAGGGTAACCACTAAAAGGGAAATTAAAAGTTTGGATTTAAAAATCTGAAAAGGCGATAAAAGGGAACAAGAGAAAATATCTGAATAATACAAAAGAAAACAGAAATTAAAGAATAAAGAAAAAGAACAGCAGATGGGACAGGGAGGAAAGGAAAAAAGTTTCCTTATTGTCAGGCCTGGCAATAAAAAGTTTCTCTCCTCCTGAAGATGAGTTTTAATTCCCCTCCCCATGTGAGTGTGGGCTGAGCTTTGTGGGTTCCTTCCAAAGAAGAGATTAGGAAAAGGGGGAAAAAATTAACGCTGGAGAATCTGGCAGATACCACCTTAACCAAGTGATAAAGGTTATCAGCCTTGGTGTCATGTGAATATCACATATACCCTCCACATGGTATGGTAACAAGGGCACTTCATCTCCATCATGTTCTTCCCTCAAACCCATAGTCCCAGTACGATCATGAGAAAATCATTATAAAAATCTCAGTCCAGAAACATTCCACAAAGTCCTTAAGAAGTATTCCTCAGATCTGTCAGAGTCATGAAAAGCAAGGCAATACTGAGACTGTGTCATAGATTAGAGAAGACAAAGGAGATGGGATGACTAAATCCAGTGTGTTCTGCTCACTTGGATCCTGATATAGGAGGACATCAGCGGAAATTGGTGAAATCTGAATAAAAGACTGGAGTTTAGCTAACAGCAATGTGCCAGTGTTAATTTCTTAGTTTTGATAAGTGTATTATAATTATGTAAGATAGTAACATTAGGAGATACTGGGTAAAAAGTCTACAGGAACTTTCTGTATTATCTATACAAATTTTTTTAAACCTAAACTTATTCTAAATCGAAAGTTGTTTTTTTTTTAAATAGGACAAATAGAATAGCAAGAGAGGAGACTTAGATCTAACTATATTAAGAATTACAGTAAATTTAATGGAATAAACAATCCAATTAAAAGTCAAAAATGAACTTTTTTTATTACAAAGACTGTATAAATAAGACCAAAAAGTCTATGCCTCTTAAAAGAGACATACTTTAATATTAGGACAGAGGTAACTTGAAATTAAGAGAACTAAGAGTATTACAGCCTGCTAAAACTAACTGAAAAAAATTAGCATGGATGTACTAATGTATTACTTGTTAATAAGTATTCATCTATTATTAATATAAATTATTAATACAATGGGGAGCGGGAGCCTGGTGGTCAGTTGAGCGCGTGACTTGATTTCAGCTCAGGTCATTATCCCATGGGATTGCGCCCTCCATCAGGCTCCATGATGTGCATGGAGCCTGCTTAAGATTCTCTCCTCTGCTCCTCTCCCCTGCTCATACTCTCTTTCCAAAAAGAAAAAAGAAAAAAGTATATTAGGTGAGAATTAAGATATTAGGACTGAAAGAAAGAAGGAGTCTTAAGAGAAGGAGTCTACAAGAGATAATTCTAAATTTCATGAACTTGATATTTATCAAAATATATTAAGAAAGAAACTACAAGGGGCAATTGATGAAATGATTCTCATAGTTAAAATTCTAACAAGGCTCTTCCAGTACTTAGGAGGAGGCACTGCAGAAAAGAATCAGTAAAAATATAGAAGGGTAAAGCCACATGGTCCCCCCAAGTTGGCCGGAGCATGGTATACACATGCTTCACCCAACAACTGCATAAATCATTTATATTTTTTCAACACACAGGGAACAGTTTATAAAAGAGACCATATATGGGGTGTAAAGATGTAACAACACATTTCAAAATGTTGAAATGTTACAGAGGACATTCTCTGATCATCAAATTACAGAGAACATTCTCCAGTCATCAAATTTTTTACGTTTGTCATGTCCCTAGCTGACCATGTATCCACTCACACTATGTGTAATATGTTTGTTGTGGTTTATAGCTCATCTCTCAACTTCCCAAATTTCACTTCCATAATACAAGAAACATCAAAACGAGATCATCACGCTGTTTTCATGCCTGTTACAACCAAGTATGATAAACAATATTTGCATTAAGACATTTCCTCAATTTCTATATTTCTTTCTTGACATATCCTTTTGTAATTTTGGATTACACAATTTCTCTATTTCTTCGATTCATATTGCATGTAATATAATTTAATTACTCACTGTTATTTCTCGAAAGTTTTTCAAAAATATTAATAGAAATACAAATGTTATATTGAAATCTATTATTTTTAAAGCCTTAGAATAATGCCCAAATCTAATATACTGGATGGTTTTCAGAGTTAATTGAAATGAACTTAAATAATTATAGATATAGATGGATAAAAATCGTCAGGTTGGCCTTACCCAGGAACAGAAGAAAAGACTAGTGTGTTGCAGAAGACAGTTTGCAGGTTAGTACTGAAGAAGAATTTCATATTTGGAGTTTCAGTTTTATCCACTATACGTTTTTTGCAAAACTGACCATAGTCCCTTTTATCTTGCATATGCCTAGCAGATATTTTTTCTTTTTCTTTTTTTTTTAAAGTTTATTTATTTGTTTTGAGAGAGAGAGAGGAAGGAGCATAGAGAGAGGGAGAGAGAGAATCCCAAGCAGGCTCCATACTGTCTGCACCGAGCCTGACATGAGGTTTGAACTCACGAACCGTGATCATGACCTGAGCTGAAATCATCAGTTGGATGCTTAGCTGACTGAGCCATCCAGGCGCCCCAAGTAAAGGTCTTTTAATTTAATATCTACCATGCTCTCATTTTTTTGTACATATCCTGAATCTTAGGTTATACTGCAACCACCCTATGGCAGATAGCCAATAAAGGTCACAGTGTGGCCTGTGCAATAGGGCCATGGAAACACCTTGAAATGCCTACAGAGGCCTCCCTCCCAGTTTGATACCATCCAAACTGGGTCCTGACCAACAAACAGGTTCTACCAGCACACGGTCTCCAGCATCAGAGGCCTGCAACCTCCTTCTGCCTCAGTCTCTCTCCAGTCTCTGCTCACAGAGTGAGTTCCTGTTGTATGAACTATTCTGTTCCCAGTAGTGCTCACCATCGTTGATCTCATCACTATGCCTCTGCTCATGTGGCCATCTCCTGAATGTTTTCTGCCTCTCAGTGTCCCCCATTTCCCTGGAAAACTCCTCATCTCAAGAGTCACATTCATGGTCACCTCTTTCAGGATCCTCTCTGACAAGCTACATAAACCCACTCCTTGAGTGTTGGATCAGGTGCCCCTCCTCACTCCTGCACCCGGGGAATGGTTTGCCAGGGTTTTCACAGGCTTTTCTAAAATCTTCTATTTGTCTATTCGTTTTCCCTATTGCATGGAGAGTCAGAGGGTAGCAGAGTCTTATTCCTCTCCATATTCCTGGCCAAACTTCATTCCCACCTTATAAATGCCGAGTACATGATCAATGACAATGTTGAAACAAAGGGAGAAAGAAGGAAATTCAATTCGAGTTGAACCACCCTCCTGGTTAGAAAGGTAACTAACAATAAGTGGAGTCAAGTAATCAAAACCCAACTGAAAATGGCTTCATAAAAAGGAGAGGGGGTGCCTGGGTGGCTCAGTCTGTTAAGCATCGACTCTTGACTTTGGCTCAGGTCATAATCCCAGGGTTGTGGGATCAAGCCCTACATCGGCATCTGAGCTGAGCATGGAGCCTGCTTGAGCTTCTCTCTCTCTCCCTCTCTCTCTCAAAATAAATAAATTAATTTTAAGAATAAAAATAAATAAAAAAAAGAATGGAGTGCCTGGATGGCTCAGTCTGACATTGGCTTGGGTAATGATCTCATGGTTCACAAGTTTCAGTGACAGCTCAGAGCTGACCCAGCTGTTCTGCGGACAGCTCAGAGCCTAGAGCCTGCTTCAGATTTTGTGTCTCCCTCTCTCTCTGCCTCTCCCCTGCTCGCACTCTCTCTCACTCTCCCTCTCTCTCTCTCTCTTTCAAAAATAAACATTAAAAATATATAAAAATTTAAAAAAGAAAAAGTTTCAATGAAAAGGAGAATCAATGGGCCTCTAAAAGGAAAAGACTGATGTGTGGATGAGAGAAAGCTGCTTGTTTCAAGTTCAAAAATTCTCTCCAGTAATTAGTCTCACCGCCACATCAGGCTGCTTTTCTCTGTGCTTGCTTCACTTCTGGCAGGCTCCCCTCAAAGCTTCAAGCTTCTGTTCTAGCAGGCATAACCCCACAGGAAGCAAAGGCTTATTTTCCAACATTTCCTGACAACAAGGACTCCAGGAAATTTTTCAGACTTGGCCAGGCTTAGGTCACTTGCCCACCCTACACCTGTCAGAACTTGCCTGAGGGTTAGACCCAGACTGGAAAGACCAACCAATGCTACTTTGGGTCATCAGCCCACTCTTGGAACTTTGGAGCAGGGTCACCCTACCTGAACTACCCAGGCCAGAAGGAAGATGGGATGGTTCCCAAAAGAAAACCAAGGTTCTATAACCAGAAGGAGGAAGGAGCTCAAGCCAGGTAGAAATGAACATTGTACTAGAGACTAGATCAGGTTTATGACATTAACACTGGACGACTTGCTTTGGACTGAAGAAGTGGGTGAATTGAGGGATTTAAGGCCACGTGCAGACATTTTCGTTCTTCTCCCCTCAGAGCTGGAGTCATGCTACCAGAAGCAGTAAATGCAACAAGATAGGGGTGGCAGTTGTGATGTCACAATTTTCTGGAGGCCAGAGTGGGGACAGCAGCCCTACACTGCCCATTCCTGTGGCTCCATCATCTGGAGAGGCGGCACCAAGTCTGGGTTGTAAAGGCAGATTAGATAGAGTCAATGGAACAAGATGACAGTAACTATGGTAGCTCAAATGGGATTTAATACCCCATTTTATTATAAGGATGCTCTATTCTTTTACGATTGGTAATTGCATTAGTTTAAAGTTTGGGCGTAGACATCTGTCATTCAGCTCATAAAATGAATAATTAGTTGGGGAAGATACTTGCAAAAACAGAATTGGATTGTTTTTTTAGGCTTCAGAACGCCATTGCTTTTTAAATTTTATGAAAAATAAATATGGGACTATTAGGGATTGAATTATGAGAACTGATATATTAAGGCAGAAAAAAAAAAGCCCTTTCTTTTGCACTTTATTTTGTTAGCAGCTAATGATTATCAAGCAAGTCTTAGACATAAAATTATAGATAATTATATGACTATGAGCCAGCTTCTTGAAATGTTTCATCCCTTTGGTTATTACTATAAAATTTTTTGATGCCCTATTCATTCATCCTGAGTATTTGTATATGCCAATACTCTGGATTGGATCTGGAAAACATTAGGACAATATTTTTCTTTTTTTTTTTTTTTAATGATAAAGAGAGTAAAGTTCTGGGTAGTTTCCTGCTAATGCTGAAGGCAAAATATTTCTATTATTAAAATATGATAAAGTACGCAAACTGGGTCAGGCAGAAAACTAAGATCCTTATTTCAGCAAATAACAACTAAGATGTCCAGTTCCCTTCTGGGAAAATCTCAGTGTAGAGTATTCATCCCACTGACCGGATTTTGGAGGTATAAATCCATTGATGAAGAAAATCAGATAGAGAGATAAATGTAGACTTAATTGAATTTAAGTGTATCCTCTTCATTCCACACAAGAAACTTCTTGCTGTCAGGGAAATCAAACCCTGTAGACTTTGAGCAGTTTGCTATTTTTAAGCTTTAGGAAATGTGACATTGAACTATTTAACCATGAGAATAAGAAACATATTTAAACAAACCAAAACAAAAACAAACCTGCTCTCCTGAATTATCTGTTATTTATGTTAGAAAAAGGGTTTTTCCCCTTAACATGCAGTGGTTAAAGCAGCACTGGCTGGAGCTCAAATTGTGAATTTTCTTAACTGCGAGACCTTTGCAAACCACCTAAATTCCCTACATGTTTGTTTCCTTGGGGAGAAAAGCTGTGGATATAAAGCTGGTAAGTATTATGCAGGGCAGTTGAGAAGTTTGGTGGGTTTTATATATGCAAAAGATTGAGAACTATTAAAGTTCTATTAAAGTGTATGTACTCCAATACTTTATGTTGACTTAGTATCTTATAAGCACATAAACATATGTACGTTACTAGAGATATTGAAGCAGAATGGAAAGATCTGCTACAGATTATTCCTTGGACAAAAGTCAAAACATCTTAGCAATCTCTTCAGCTATTAAAATTCTGAGCTGCTAATTATCTAAAAGAAGAAAGAAAGAAAGAAAATGCATAGTATTTTCAATTAAGACTCACAGAAAAATAAGGATAAAAACAGTAGTATCTACACAAATTCTCAATTATTGGCAAATTACTCATAGTTTATAAACTTTAGGTCAACTTTCATTTCCTACTTCTTTTTGAAAAAATTTAGATTTCTCTCCCACTTAAAGGGATGTACTAATGATACTAAAATGTAAAGACAAATCATTATTTATAATTTAGTAATTCATAATATTTTCTTCTTTTAACTTTTTAAAATGTTTATTTATTTTCGAGAGGGAGAGAGACAAAGCATGAGCAGGGTCAGGGCAGAGAGAGAGGGAGACACGGAATGCAAAGCAGGCTCCAGGCTCCGAGCTATCAGCACAGACCCTGACACGGGACTCAAACTCACCAACTGTGAGATCATGACCTGAGCAGAATTTCAACTGGAGTCAGATGTTTAACCTACTGAGCCACCCAGGCACCCCCATAATCCTTTCTAATAAGATAGAACATATTTAGTTTTATTTGCATTTTGTAGTTGAGATTACTGAAATTAGAATTATAAAATTACTGATCAATTAAACTAGACAACAAAAAATTCATTCTGAGTTTTCTCTAAAAAATATAGTACAAAACTTTTATGTTGGTTGAAGGAGGTGTTTTTCTGTTTTTAATTTTTTTTTTTTTTTAATTCTCTTTGTACAGGGATTTTATCCCCAGGTGAGTTTCAGCTTAGTAGTGCGGAAATAGCAATTTCTATTTTATTTATTTAAAAGTGATTTATAGCATATGTATTGTATGTACTGGCGCTTTATAAGTACATACATTTCACACATTTATTTATCATAACAATAGGCTGAAGCAGATGCTACCTTTAATGTCCATTTTACAGGTGAGAAACGAAGGCAAAGGCGGGTTAAATGTCTGATGCCTGCACTGCCAAGAACTGAAACCGCTGCTATACAGCTCTATGGCATCTCCTCCCTCCTCCAGCTTCCCTTCCACACCCATCCACTGGGTAACCCCACTCTCCTCACAGACCTGCACCTAGAATCACACCTAAGTCATCTGAAAGCTACATGTAATCCAACAACAAAAGCCAAAAAACGGGGGTGAAAAATTAACTGCTGAACGACACAGCCGAATTCACAGCTTGAAAGGTCTTACTAGAAATGAGTAAAAACTAAAATAGAACTGCAGTTATTGTTCTAGAGAGGATATCAAATCGAGATTTGTGAACATGAAACAAGGAAGTGCGCTTAGAGTGGTGATCTAGCACTGAAATATTTCACAGGAACACCTCATTTTGCTGTTTAGATGAGCGAAGGGTGCTACTCCCACTAGGCATCAGCGCCTGGTCCCTCTGACCCGTTTGTGCTTGGTCGAAACTAGACTGTGGAGCCCATGAGCCCAACGCAGCCTTCCCTCCCGCCAACAGCTCTGATAGCAGTATGACCAGCGTCATACTTCACGGATTAATCCACGCCCTCTACACCAAAAAAGTGGTGTTCATGGATTTATTCCAACTCTGGAAGTTCCAGAATTGCACAGAGGAAGGAAAATATGTAGGGTTAAGACATTCTGTCCTTAATTAAACACTAAATTAAACTTTTGACACCGGTCATCCTCACATCCTTTCACCCCTTCAGGATATGACACAAAGTATGATTTGTTTGTGACTGTAAAACACTAGGGACAGGCGAACGTTCATATGTCTTCTGTGAGATGACAAACGTATTTTAACAGTCTGTGCAGACATAAATAAAATCATCCAACCAAAAGACATTTATGTGTTAAGCAAAAAATAGAAAGTCATGTCACCCCTTCTCCTGGGGTTATTTCCCCACTCGGGTAACAGTCGTTAAGAAGCCTGTCTGGCGTAAGTGGCACAGACTCAAGTAAGGCCACTCACATCCCCTTTGGGGATTGGGGAAGAAAGGGAACACGCCCGAGTCGCCCGGACACGCGGGAAGCTGGCACGTGGTCCCCCTCCACCCCGGGGGCGGGGCCGCGCGAACCTTCCGGACCCGGGAACGACCTGGGGCGCCGGGAAATTCCCTGCCCCCCGGCGGCGCCCTTCCCCGCGCGGACCCGGGATAAAAGGGGTTCTCCCGGCCCGGGGAGCCACAGAGGCCGCTCCGCCAGCTCTCCGCCAGCTCTCCGCTCCAGCCGCCGCCCCGACTCTCCGAGCTGAGCCCCATGGCCGCCGCCGCGCCCCCCGCCGCGCCCCGCGCTCTCCGGCTCCTCGGCGCTGCGCTGCTGCTCCTGCTCCTGGTCCCCGCCGGCCGGCGCGCCGCAGGTGAGGCCCGGGGACCTCGGGGNGTGCTCTCCCCGCAGGGACGCCCGTCGTCACCGAGCTGCGCTGCCAGTGCCTGCAGACCTTGCAGGGCATTCACCTCAAGAACATCCAGAGTGTCAAGGTGACGCCGTCGGGACCCCACTGCGCCCAGACCGAAGTCATGTAAGTGACGCCCCGCGGCGCTGCTGCCGCTGCCCTTTGTCGCCCCCGCCGCCCCCATGCCCCCTACCCCGCCGCGCGGCCCGGCCTCCTGCCAACGGGCATCCTGCCTTCTCTCTGCAGAGCCACGCTCAAGAATGGACAGGAAGTGTGTCTCAACCCCGAAGCCCCCCTGGTCAAGAAGATCATCGATAAGATGCTGAACAAGTGAGTTATGCTTTCTATTCACACGTGCGACTAGAGTCACTGGTCACAGAGACAGGCACGTGCCTCCGGAAGATTTTATCAAGGAAACCTAGGTTTAGCTGAAAAACAAAATCATTATTAATTCAGTTAAACATGCTACTAAGGTCATTAAGCTCCTGTGCCAGGGTATTTCCAGTGCCCTCTCTCCCCATACAATCGAGTGCTGGCAAATGTGTGTTCCTAAAAGATGACCTAGAGTTGGCCAGTGATGTTAAAATGCCTCCCACCCATTGAGGAGCACCCCGTCTTTACCTCCATCCCCGGTGAGCTTCGGTCCTGAAAAGTGGAGCCCTTGGTTTTGGGCAACATGGGCCTCTCTGAAGCTTGGTGGTGAAGAGCAAGCACTTTGCAGTGAATTCCTGCCCTACCTTGTCACCTAGCCTCCACCTTTGATTATTACTGTATCCCCAGGGCAAGGATTTAATCTCTTTAAGTCACAATACTATAGGAGAAATAAAAATAGCTACTTCAAGACGTCTGCTAGGAGGCTTAAATAATGTCCTGAATGTACTTTTTTAGTCCATCGTGACACTACATAAATTCTAGCTTTTTGAAGCTAATAATACAACTGTGATCGCAGACAACACCTTATTCCTAAACAGCATCCAGGAGCCTTGCCTTTTTCTGCCACGTAAGGCAATGGTGTAGATGGTAACCACATGACACAGGGCTCTGCAGTCAATTTATCGCATCCTGTTAACGGCGACCATTTTTTCTTCGCAGGGGCAGCACCAACTAAGCAAGAGAGGGAAGGCAGAAGTTCATGGCTTATTGTGGCAGCCTCCATGGAATGGGAGAGAGAGAAAAGAAACAAAAACCTCCTGGGTCCATCTGGACTGTGTTTAATCTATTTGACTATTTCGTATGAGTATTCTTCTATTTGTAACATATGTATTTATGTATTTATTTATTTATTTATTTTTCAAAGCTAGCATAGTAATGTTCTAGCTAATATTTAAAAATGAAGTTGGTGATTTGCTGTACTGTGATTCTGAAAGGTCATTTTTATGTTAAATCAAAGTTGGTTCAGTTCTATTTAATTTGTAGATGATGAGTCTTAAATGTTCTTCACTCATTAAACTATTATGTCTGGGGGGGAGGGGGAAGGGAAGCCATGCCCTATCATTCCCTATGATAAAGGCTGGAGATAAATAGTGTGGGATCCAAGCACACAGGTCACACCTGTTAAGGGTGTGGAATGTATGTGCACATTTATTTTTCTACTGTTGAGAAGAATGCGAATTGTTATTTATTGAGAGAGTTTCACAGTTGTGTGTGGTCAACACTTCCAGTGTTGAAGCTGTAAAAACTCGACAATGTTTTAAACATCCCTTGGACATTTTATGTCTTCCTTGTAAGGCATAATGCCTTGTTTTTGTTAATTATGCAGTGTTTCTCTATGTCTTGGAACACAGAAGTTTCAATATTTATTGATGTATTTGTAACAAATAGCATGAAAATAAAGTTTTTTACAAAAGTTTCTTGCTTACGTTTGTTTTTTTCCTTCTTGATCTGTCGTTCCTCATGAACACCCAAGCGTTGGAAATTTATAACGGAGTATAGGTCACACCCACATAAAGAAGGCCGCTAGTGGGCACTCCTTATTTCCACTCCCATTCATGAAGGCATATTTGATGCTTTTTCAAAGTCCTTGCAGCCTCCCCCCACACCTTGAGAATCTGTTTTACATAAAATATTCATTTTGTTTCAGCATAACCAACCGTTCTTCAGTTCTAGCTCTTTAAAATTTTTACACATATTTTCACATATTTACACATACAAAATATTTACCCATATTTTCAAAAGCATTCTCATTTGAATGATCTTGTTAAGTGGTTTTTCAATTCTGCATTCTTTTCTCTCCATGAAGCTGGGAGCTAAACTGTAAATTGCACTCTTCCTTAGAACTCCATCAATTTGTATAATGTGGAGGGGGGAGGCGGGAAAAGAGCTGGCTGAGTTTTCATCTGTCTAAAGGTCAAAATGAGAAGGTCTTTTATGTGACAGTCTTCATGGAGAGAAACAATCGCCCAACTTAATGATGCTCCAGTGGCTTCAAGAGTCTGGTGATGGTTGAAATAGTTTCTCAACCTGTAAATTTGAATTTAAATGGTGCCAAGACAACAGGAATACATCCATCTTCTAACAATAGAAACAAAGGCTGTTCTCTCACAATACGGAAAGATTTGGGCCATCTGGCAAATCTAAAAGGGAGGAGACTTTGTGTCCCGGAGGGGAAGGCCCGGGAAGGTTTGTGCCTATCTCTGACTGAGGACCTCTTCCTGGGCATGTTTATAGCCTTCAGCAGGAGGAACAGGGTGGGCATAGGTTCACACATGTCTTAAGCAGCTGGGTAACAGCTACTCTGAGCCTCTGTGTCCTGCCCTGAAAATTAAGTAGAATAGTCTCTTAGTTACTCCAGTGGTACTGCTCAGAATGAATGTGGTAGGAGGGAACAGTTTTTAAGTTGTAGAGAGGTAAACAAATGCAAACAATTCTGGAAGCTCTATAAATGTCAGCACGGTCTCCTTCCTTAACCCTGAGTCAAGGGCAATATATTGGTCTCCTTCCTTAACCCTGAGTCAAGGGCAATATATTGTAGCCTGTGGGAAATAAAACTTCTTAGGGTTTCTCAGTGTTTTTGTAAGTCCTAGCCTTGTCACATACCATGAGTATTAAATCTGTCATTTGTCTAGTTAATGGCTCTGATCCTAACAGATAACACAGTTTTTCTAATTTCCTGAAAGATGACTCAATGGTTACATCCAGGACTAGGTGCCAGGCTAAGCCTCCGGGTTCTGGGGAGACCGGAATAGGTATTTACATGTCAAAAGAGATAAAGCCACAGAATTTAGAGATGCCCATAGCTCTTAATAGTTGAGAAATAGAGGCAGTCTGGTTCTTGGGAAGATTTACTTATATAACAGGGTTATACTTAGAATTTAAGCCTATTGTGTTTCCAAGGAGACCCTATCAGGAGGGGAATGGGACAAAGTCCTCCTTCCCCTCTATAAGCAGGGACAATTGTATGTCCCCTCCCACCATCACTCCCTTCCCTTGGCCTATCAGGTGTCGAGCTACCAGAATAGGACAACTGGCCTGGTTTTTATCACATCACCCCAAAAGTGAGGCCTGAGGCAAGCAGAAAGTGACATTTATTCACTGGGAGGTAATTAATTAATAAGAAACCTGTCTGATCAGGAACCACTCTGTGTACATTCGGGATAAAAAAAATTTTAAATATCAATATTAAAAACTCAACATAGGCCTTGTTAACTTGGTGAATGAAAAGAAGGATAAAGGAGGGGCAGTTAGTTCATATGTTGATTAATACCACAGACTATGAAAGGGCACCTGGCTGGCTCAGTCAGTGGAGTGTGCAACTCTTGATCTCAGGGTTGTGAGTTCAAGGCCCACGCTGGGTGTAGAGATTACTTGAAAATAAAACCTTAAAAAAAAAAAAAAAAAAAAAAAGAACACAGGCTATGAAGAATTAGACTGTTCTGGCTGTAGCTTTCCAGTTCTAATGTCTTCTTTGTGGTTTGAGGTGAAATTTCTTAATTAATCTAAACTTCATTACTCCTTTCATAAAAGGGGTATGATAATAGAATCTCCTTTTTGTAGCTGTTACTAGAATTGGGCATTGATAATTTGAGTAAAGAGCTACGCGTAAGAGATGGATGTGGGAAACAAAGGCAGAAAAATGTAGATAAACTTAAATTTCCTTACAACCCACAGCCCATTGACAGATACTTGAGGCAGGCGGGAGTATGACTTCTCAGGGAGTCCCAACTGTCTTAACCTTAATGCTTTGCTAGAGGGAAAAACAATCTTAGCTTGACTATAGTCAGGCCTCAGGGATCCTGACAGTCTTTAGCCTATGAAAGTCCTTTGCGGGGAAAGATTCCACAAAGGACTTTCATAGGCTAAAGAAGACTCCCAAATATAAAATCAATCACCCTTCACAATCTCAGTACAGCTCTGCCTGCCCTCTGTCGTGGTGACATTAATTAAACCACCTTTTGCACCAGACATCTCAAGAATTCTTTCTCTGCCGTCGGCTCCAAATCCTAACACTTCCAACCTCAGCAAGATGACAGTGGCTCCTGAATTTTTGAAAAAAAGGATATGGTATCCTTGGAGAATGATTTTTCAGCCTTCCATAGGAGACTTGAATTCCAGTGTTCAAAGCACTTTTCATGAAGCTAACAAAATGTGCATATTATAGAAGGGGAGTTGGAGATTGTGGGAGGAACCAAAATGGCATCAACACTGGCCAATGTTCAATAAATGTAATTACTGTAAATGTTCTGGGTCTGCATTAACCAGTGATCCTCTGGCTTGCTGTTGTGAGATTGTATAAAATTTCTGGACATGAGCAACTCCATTTCAAAGCTTCCTTTTCCTTTCTAATGAACTGCTACTGGACAAAATTAACTTTTAAGCTGGGCCATTTGGGATGATTGATTGTTTTGCAAGCAGTTGCTCGTAAAACCAACAGAGCAGTTGGCGGCCAGACCATAAAACTGCCAGTATGGACTTTCTGCCAGCAGAGTAATTAGGGCATTCTGAGTGTGGCTGTGGTAGGGTCTCCTCCCTAAGGAAAGAAAATAAAAAAGAACATCTCAAGACAACCTTGTTATTCACATATGTGACAGCATCCCTCATGACCTTGTCACATGAGACCACTTAATCAGATTGCATGTTTGTGTGTTACCATCTATGGGAGACAAAGAAGTACAAAATACATTTAAAAACCCCACACCATGTGGTGTTCGAGGCTCAGTTCTTGGGGCACAAACCCAATGGAGCGATGCTGGCTGTAATAAAGTTGCTTCATGGAAAGGAAAGCCTGGGTGTCAGGACTCTCTCTCTGTGAGAATTCTGCTACATTAGTTAGGGGTTTTCATCCAGGATTCAGAGACAGTGTGTTTCCACCTCCTTTGCCACTGCGGATAGAACCTCAGGGCGTCGGGAGAGGCAGCTCACCTGGTGCCAGCAGACTGCTGATCTGCAGGAGACTAGCCCTCCTGACGTGCAGGGGCGAGGCCCCATGTACACTAACGGAACCCATGGGGTCCAGGAACCAGCTCAGGGAGCACCTGTCAAACTGATAAGAACACTGGTTCATTTGGGTAGACCTGCCCCTAAGAGGCAGAAGGGGAGCCTGATTACCTCCCAGAGTTGCACTAATAATTCCACAAGGGAAGAAGAACGAAGCTGCAACTCTAAGGTGTTGGGTGCTTGGCACTTGGCGGCAGGTTGGAGTCACCATGTGACAGTGTGTGGGGAAGTGTCTCTCGTTCATTTTCTGGGTCAATGACTGTGATAATTAAAGCCGACTGTCTCTGCTTATTCTGCCTCAGAATGGGGACTTTAAGGAATATTCCCAAGCAGCTGCTGAAACTCCTTTTGTTTCAGGGAAGTTCTCTGTTTTCTCCGGGCTGACATGGACTGCCTAATTCCGCTGGCGGAAAACAAAACAAAAGAAACCTGAAGTCTGCTCCTCTGTCTGAGCTGACAAGATTTAAAACTGGGAATTCTCTTTCTCTTCCTCCAGCTGGCACCTGTGTCTTCTGCCCTCCCTTCCACCCTCCTGCTTCTGCACCATCTGGGGTGCAGTCCGCATTACTGGCTCCTCAATGCCTCAGGCACCATCAGCTCCTGCTCCCACCCTAGATGTCGAGGCGCAAAGACCACGGAAGTCAGACTTCCCCACCAACCATCCAGGTAAAACTTAACCATGGGGAACAAATTGTCTTCCATGAACTCAAGGAAAACATATTGTGTTTAAGCTAATTAAGTTCGTTGGTTTGAGATAGATGGTGTTTGTCAACATAAAAAAAAAAACAGAAACAAACTTTTATTCTACCTAGATTTGCTGAAGGTCAGATAAGCTCATGTTATCACTGTTACAATTTGTTAACAAAAGGATGACTTAAAGTGATGGTTAATTTTCCTGTCTCATAGTTTTCATGAGTAATTGTTAAGATAGCTTTCAAAGTCCTTGGTAACTTAATATGTTAAAGTTTTGCTTGCATGATAAATTGAGGTTGAATTCATTGGCTATCTAACAAGGTAAGAAGCGAAAGCACTAATTACTAGCTGTAGGTTTGTGCTTTTGACTTGTTGCATAAAAAAAAAAAAAAAAAACCTAAGGAGATTTGAAACTGTTAAAAAACATGCTTTGTGCTTAATGGATTCATAAGTTTGCCATCTAAAAAAATTCAAATATTACATAGAATTCACAATTGGTTACTACTTAGTTTTCACTGGAGGCTAAGGTTTCTAGCAGTTAAAATTCTGCTAAGTGTATTTAAGACTATTGGAAATAAGGAAAGCAACTTTGTATGTAGAAAAGTAGGAGGTATGTAAAAAAGATATACGAATGGAAATATATTTTTGTTAAAGGTAAAAGAAGGTGATTTTGTCCTAAATGAGACTGGTTACTTGGAGAAAAATGGCTT